CGTCAGCGACCGAACCTAGTACATACTGCCAACCTCTTGGTTCTTCAATTGAGATTGGAATGACTATACCAATGAACATTTGAGAATCGCCATAATTAATAAGTTTTTATAGGATTACTTGTCTTGAGTTGAACGATGGTTACATTTTACTAACTTAAGTTATGGATACAAATGCTTACCGAATAATAATATGCCTCCAATTCTTCGACTTTCGATATTACGCAGAACATCAATAGTAATTAATTTAACTCTTATACGTTTGTTTGCAACTCTAATGTACATTATCGTAATACTCGACAGACTAGTTATTTGCGACCGCCTCGTTTTCGACTAAATCTATCATCCAGAAATGCACCTCAGCTAAATCTTTACAATGTTTTAGCTGATGCCGTAAAAGAGTTAAACTCTTGTAAATTTAAATTTAAGTATCAAGAAATATCTTCTCGAAAATTGTTTTTATTCGGTGCAGAGAGTATCTGAGGGCTACCACCAGGCTTTTAAATTTTTAATTATTTTCTGTCTTGATTTTTAATTGTACTTTTGTCGTTATGTATGTTTTGTTACTCTGTTATTTTTTGTTTTATACGTTATGCATTATTGATTTTTTTCTTTACTATTGATATATGTTTGACTTACTACAATCACCTCTTTGTATAAAAAGTAGTTAATACATTTATCTATCTATAGGTGCAATGTGCATAACCAAATACTTTTAAACCAAATCCACTAACTTTCGAAGCTTCAGACGAATTTTTGAAAAAGTTAAATATGAACAAATTGAGATGAAAAACATCCGTCAGTCTCACTTAAATGAGCCCTTTCGAATTTTTAATTCAAGCCATCTAATTTTACGTAAAATTTAACTTTAACTGTTGAAAATCGTATAAAAACAATATATTTTGTTAACAGCTATGGCGTAATAAAAAACACTTTAATTGTAAGGAGTTGTAGCTCCCTTTACAAAGGTATAATAATTTTGACGGCTATTATCAGCCCTTTAAATTCGTTGCGTTATTTATTGACGTCCTGTATAGAATATATTTTATGGAAGCTACTATTTTCTGCGACGTTATTAATGGCTTATATATTTAGAGTTATCCTGCGTAAAATCTAAAAAGGGATCAATCCAGCCATCATATCATTCTCCGGATTACACGGTAAGTGGATGGTATTCGGTTAAATTCTAATTTCCTGTCATGTACCTATCATTTCTGTTCCGCTGAACTTATTTGTGCTACGTATGTAACCACTATGTATTGAATTGTTTGGATTATTGTGTAATGAAACTTGTAGGAGGATTTAGCTAGATGGTACTTAAATGGCATTTAACTGACAACTTGTTCAAACTGGCCACATGAATACCGTTAATAGCAGTCCTTAGATATCCTTTTTATTATTTCCTTTGCAGAACCTTATTTATATCGGGCGTCCGGTTAACAAATAATTTAAGAGGTGCTTCTACTCATAAAAATAGTGGCAAATATATTTTTTTAATATTACAATATAATTACCTAACCATTACTTTTTTCGATTAAGCGGTTTTGCTTTCTAATATACAGGATGTTTTCTTATGTCCATATCAAAAGGCAGTTCCTTGGCTTATTTTACGCCAGCAAGTTGCAATGTTACATATATCTAAATATATGGTTTAACCACATATCTAACCCATATGCGACACTTAGAGAGATAGAGCTACTTTGTGCAACACGAATGGAGATACATCCAAGTTAAAGGGACTGAACGCATGCGTATTTCCCAACAGAACAGCTGTTAAAATATATATAGAGCTATATAAATATATAGCTGTATAAAACTTTAAGTATATATAAATTTTGTAGAGTAAAATAGAGTTTTTGATTATTTTGCCCATAAAATGATGCTACGTATGAACGGTTTTTATCTGCGAATTAAATACATTACCGATGAAGCCCGAATACTTCCGTACATGTTTTATCTCCGTGTGGTCTATGTTAGAGACGTTACGTATAAATCGTATAATAGCCATTTTGGGCATTTTGTAAACATTGTTGCCGTTAGCTGTATTGAAGTGTTTTAAAAAGTGGTTTACAGTGGATTTATAGTTATTTATTTTTAAAACTGTGGCGTTTTTATTAACAATTATTTGCATTTACAAAGAATGTCTAAATCAGTATCGGAAATGCAATAAAGAAAATAAAAATATACATTTTTTCGGTTTCCTAAAGAAGAACAATTGTATGATTATTACTTTTTATATAGGTAATATTAAATTGCTTATAAAAATTGTTTAAATATTAAATTTTTATAATATAAATTGTTCTATTAGATGTCGATTGAAAAATGTGGACACCCAGAATTAATAATGCACGGATAAAACGATTTCAAATTTACATAACTAGTGTAATACCTTTTGGAAGTTAAAATGACATATTTTCTATATTCATTATTATTTATTAGTTAGATAAAATTTGATTGCTAATTGTATATGTAACTACCCAGGAAACACCATTTATAATTTATGTAAAGATGTACCTCCAGTTCAACATCCCTGTCCAAATTTTTCTTTGGACTATTTAATAAAGTAACTTGTAATTCTGCGAATTTACTACCAGATAAAATCTATTAATAAAAATGTTAGTAAAACTCCTAATATAAAAAATGTAAAATTAAATATGTGTATAATTTGTTATTAGGTATTTTATTTCAACAAAAAATTAATGAACACTTAGCAATTTTATTTTAATATATTAGTTATCTAATTTATCATCCCGGTTAGACAGACACTTTATCAATTAAGGAAAATTGTGATAAATGTAGGTGTAAGCATTTTATCACAATTTTATCTAATTTATCATCCCGGTTAGACAGACACTTTTTGAAAATGATAAATGTAGGTGTAAGCATTTTATATTCATGTTCATTCAATATTTCGAATTGGCAACACTTTCTTCAGATATCAATTTTTATTGTCCTATCTGGCAACGTTTAGCATCCAGTTTAAATGGACAAGGTCAACGGCGGCATATGTGCCTTATCAAAGGAGTGTCGCATATGGGTTAGATATGTGGTTTAACTAATGAAAGTATGTGTAATTCTAGGATTATAGTGGCAACTTTTTACATTCACTTAAGTAAAACATTAGCCAAAAAAAGTTTAATTATTCTATACGAAACACCTAATAGACATAAATAATAGTATAAAGCAAGATTTGACCAATTTTCTATAATCAAAATAAATTTTTAAAAAATTGAAAATATATCAACCAATACGAGGGCTTATAGTAGAGGATCCGCACTAGAAACGACCTTCACCCATCTGTTTAATTGATGAAAAGTATTTTATATGAAATTTAATATATTAAAAAATATATCTCGAGTGGGTTGGCTAAAAAATTCCTGGCCAGAGTATGATTAATTAAAAATTGAAGAATGGCTTTTTATTAAATATTGCACTCATGAGTTTAACGAATAAATTTAATACCAACCGAAAGTATGAAGCCTATAGAATATACAAACGTTGGGTTGTCTATTTTTTTCCTGGCGTAACTACTGAGTTGGCAGGTATAAACAGGTAAATTGATACTAGTTATTTTCACCTATTTGTTTAATAAATAAATCTTATATCAAAATAAGCGCTATTTAATTGCGAACACGATGATATGGGGTTGTCTGTAAAAAATCTGGCCTGAATGACGGTTGTCGAGTTTTGAAAGGTGAAAATTTTATGCGAGTGGAAACTTGTGACAAAGAGGTCCGAGCTAAATATCCCGTGCGATAGAAGAGGACGTAACATTGCAGCTGTGCGCGACGTGATCGCCAGATGAAAGAGAGTGCGCATGCCATTTGTTCATGCAACAGAGAAGGATAGCGATACATTAGTAAATACTGAGCATTATTTTGAAGTGGTTAATAACTTATATTTATATAATATTGTAATAATTTTTTTGTACGTAATACAAGATCCTTAAAGTACCTATGTTTTTTACCATTTCATTTTATTTTAATTTTTTGATTGTTAACTTTGTTCATTTTTAATTATTTTCCTGAAATAACAAAAAAATTTCAAGATAAGTACATATCGCTATCATATTTTTATTCAGAAGGACATTTATATCGCGTGTCTAATGCCAAAAGGGCATATAACTTTTTTTTAGATTGCTAATCACTTCAGTATAAAAATAATAAAATAAAAAATAAATGCCAAAAAGGCCTATTGAAAAAAATATAAATGCCTTTTTGGCATTAATTTTTTTTGCTTTTTTGGCTCCTACGGTGGACCTATATAGAGCATATACCTTTTTGGCATTAGGCAGGCGATATATTGTAATGCCACATATAATATTATATTATTATTTAATATATTATATATTTATCGTTGTTTTCTCAACTCTAATGCCAGTTGCTCCAAAATAATGTTTAGTATTTACTAATATATCGCTATCCTTCTCTGTTGCATGAATAAATAGCATACGCGCTCTCTTTCATCACGTCGCGCGCAGCTACAACTCTGTGTCCTCTTCTATCGTACGGGATATTTAGCTTGGACTTCTTTGTCACAAGTTTCCACTCGCATAAAATTTTCACCTCTCAAAACTAGACATTAAACAAATAGGTGAAAATAACTAGTATCGATTTACCTATTTATACCTGCTAACCCAGTAGTTACACCAGGAAAAAAATTGCCAGCCAATGTTTGTATATTCTATAGGCTTCATACTTTCGGTTGGTATTAAATTTATTCGTTAAACTCATGAGTGCAATATTTAATAAAAAGTCACTTTTCAATTTTTAATTAATCATACTCTGGCCAGGAATGTTTTAGCCATCCCACTCGAGATATATTTTCTAATATATTAAATTTGATATAAAATACTTTTCATCCATTAAACAGATGGGTGAAGGTCATTTCTAGTTCGGATATTAGACTATAGGTTGTTATTTCCAAGTATAAGTTACTGAATATAGTAACAAATCTGAAAGTTGTTGCTCTTTCAGTCAATAAAGTATGTTTCACATTCGTAGGGCATTTGAATGTGAAGACGGTCACATATGTTGTATTAGACGAAGCAGATCGCATGTTAGATATGGGATTTGAACCACAGATTCGCAAAGTTATGTATGCGATCAGACCAACCAGACAGACTGTAATGACGAGCGCCACATGGCCTCCGGGGGTGAGGCGGCTAGCTGATTCCTACATGAATGATCCCATTCAAGTTTATGTGGGCAGTTTAGATTTAGCAGCTACACACACCGTTACTCAGATCATCGAAATGATGCCAGATGATGATGAAATCAAATTGCAAACTGTGAGTATCATAAGAGTGAAATGTTGAAACATGTATTTTTAATAACTTATTTAAAAAAATTTGACTTGTCACCAAAAAATTCTCATTTCAATTTGGATGTTTTAAATTTTCTTAAGACGTCAAACATCATTCTTATATTTTTTTATTTATATTTTCTCGTTTGTATATTAGTTGATGGATTTTGTCCGCAATATGAGTCCAGATCAAAAAATGATCGTTTTCTGTGGAAAAAAATCACGTGCCGACGAGATATCTTCAGAATTAGTACTTGCTGGCATAGATTGCCAATCCATACATGGCAATAGAGAACAAAGCGATAGAGAACAAGCACTGATAGATATCGCTAACGGCACTGTTAAAATTCTTATAGCGACTGATGTAGCATCTAGAGGATTGGATATAGATGATATTACGTGAGTACTTCNAGTTGGTCGCTATAAGCTACTCCCTACGTCCAATGTGTCAGAGCCAACTTCGACCACGTTTTTATTTGAACGCTCGTTATATTTATCGTTGCTTTCTCAACTCTAATGTCAGTTGCTCTAAAATTATGTTTAGTATATATAGTAGATATATCGCTATCCTTCTCTGTTGCATGAATAAATAGCATGCGCGCTCTCTTTCAACTCGCGGTCACGTCGCGCGCAGCTGCAATGTTGCGTCCTCTTCTATCGCAAGGGATATTTAGCTCGGACCTCTTTGTCACAAGTTCCACTCGCATTAAATTTTCACCTTTCAAAACTCGACAACCGTCATTCAGGCCAGATTTTTTACAGACCACCGTATATCATCGTGTTCGCAATTAAATAGCACTTATTTTGATATAAGATTTATTTATTAAACAAATAGGTGAAAATAACTAGTATCGATTTATCTGTTTATACATGCCAACCCAGTAGTTACGCCAGGAAAAAAATAGACAACCCAACGTTTGTATATTCTATAGGCTCCATACTTTCGGTTGGTATTAAATTTATTCGTTAAACTCATGAGTGAAATATTTATTAAAAAGTCATTTTTCAATTTTTAATTATGCATCAGTCATCGTATATTGTGAAAATTTGTCCAATACACGATGACTGATGCATAATTTTTAAAAATTTATTCTACGGAAAATGGTTGTTTAGGTTTTATTTAATTAACAATAACAAATTTCACAATAAAAGCCTTTTGAAAATTTCCTGATCAGGAACGAAACGTCAAGAAAGAATTAGCTGCTGTTTCTTTTATCCCTTTTTTTAACCGACTATCACACCAGAACCCATTCCCAAGAAAATAAATATATTTTAATATATAAGTATATAAGTTTTTTAATATAAAATTTGAAAAAACTAAGTATACTATCTTTGCAGAAAAAAATACTGACGATAAAATAAAACATTGTAATAAAAGACACATTCCATATTCGAATAGAGGATCAGAATGGCATTTAGAAAGTATTTCTGTTTTTGTGTAAGGGTCCAATTAAGACTAGACGAAAATAAAATCGGGATCTGAAAGTTTTTCTTTCAAAAAATTTTAAAAATTGGCAAAGGTCGTTAAAGAAAAAATCCATCCAGCAAAATACATTTTCAGCAACATTCATTTTGTTGTAATCACTTGATATTTCTTAATTAAACAGTTAATTCAAGACCCTGAAGTACTTCGACTGTTACGAAATCTTAAAAATTAGAAAATTGTAGAAAACAGAATGACTTCATACTGTAATAATAAATCTAGCTGATTTCATAAGTAGGCCTATTAAGCTCGTACCTGTTAAATTAGTTACAACCTTATTAAAAATAGTTGTCACAATTAATCGAGCAATTAATATGTCGCAGAGAACGAGCTGACGAGTTTGTGGGGTAAGCGTTACTCTGACAAATTGGAGGCGCTAAGCGTTGTGCGCAATTTTGTCTTAAAACCTAATTGAAGCGTAAGACTTAATTACACCCCAGAGAAACGTTCTAACAAAAATAGAGAGGACAACTGGATGGTGGTTTAGTGGTAATACGTAATCACGACTGCGGATTCTACGGCCCGATGGCACCCAACCGAGACAGCCCTCGTTCTGTGAACAAAGGACATTTAAAGTAGGGGTGGCTTATGAACCATCGCAGGAGTGGAGATTGGAAGGATGTGAAATACATGGACGTCCGCAGATCGAACTCGCTGATTAAAAAAATTGATTTTGCGCCCCATAAATATAAATCATTGTTTGAATAGGAAATATTATGCCCCAGAAAATCGAATAAAGAACGAACGATGGTCGGTATTTTCAGTAGTTTTAACCGAGATTTTAACGATGTTGCGAAGATTTTAATACTGGTTTTCCCCGTGAAAATAAAGAAATAAGATAAGGATTTACTAAAAACCTTCATATAAAATTTTTTAAAGAGAGCTACATTTTTGCTTTTATCAATTATACATATTTGTAACTGCAATTACATTTTTTGTAGAATGTTTAAAAGTTCAAAAACGACGATATACTTATTAACAATTAAAGATTTGGTAAAAAGGAAATTTTACTTTAAGTTTTAATTTTACTTTAATTTTACCTTTTTAATTATTTTGTTGGCGCCATTTCTTTTATTATTCTTGAAGGAAAAGTCCTCTGAGGATATAGTATACATACTTGCGTCTCGCTAAAAAATATGTATTTTTTTAATTTTAATACAAATCATATAGACATTGAATTATTTCTGGCTGGATTTTTATATACTTTAAGCAAATTGATACTATAGGGCACCTTTCTATTTCTACAAACATTTTACTTTATTTATGAAATTAATTACTAGTTGACAGAATAACTTACTGTTTTCGTCAATATTCTTCCAAGAGTACCACGTAAAGTTGTACCTCTTAAAATATGTAATATCTCAAAAACTGTTCAAGTATCATATAAATAATAGTTTCTAATTATGTAAAAATCTAATTTCATTAAAAAAATAAGTTACACTCAATTGTCAAGTGTCAAATTTTCTTTAAACTACAACTTTTATTGTTACCTTTTGTTATATCACTAACAAATGTGGCAATTTTCAGATTTATCACATACCGGATGTTCCAATTTTAAAATACCAAAACAGAAGCAGGATAAAAGATTAAATTTCATATTCCTGTAAATAATAATCAAAAAAACACTTTGAAATATAAAATTAAACATCCAACATTATTAAGTTTTTCCCGACAATTTAATTAATTAGATTAAAACATCTTGTACAATCGTACTGATTAGAGCGGAATTAAAAATCATTTCATTACCATCAAACATTGACTTACGACAGAAAATATAACCAACATTCTCGTTACCTAAAACCTTTCCTGCGTCACCATTAATATATTTCTTAAAAGACAATTTTATTTTTAGAAGTCCATCGACAGTTACTGATTGACAAATAAATCTTCTGTTAAGAACTTCTGTTGCCTCAGGATACGTTACATTATATTAGGATAAGTGGGCATATTCCCAGACGCTTCAAGAAAATGGTTATATTTCAGTCCTAAATAAATCTTCTTTCATCACATTTTTACTGAAAAAGTGTGTTACAAGTTCAACTATATTTAGACTTTATGCTACTATAATCTGGTAATAGATATATAGTTAATAATTTAAGAGAAACGCATAAAAACAAGTCCAAATCAAGTTTTAACATTAATATGTACCTAAATGACAAATAATTAATTTACACATCCACCAAGAAGTAACTTAAAAATACAACATACTTCATTATAGTGGTAAATTCTCTAATACCTATTTAACATTAGTAACTGAACTTTTAATTTTTGCTTTAAAATTTTTACCTTCATTTCTCTTTAAGTCTGATTCCTGTTAAGTTAGATATTTACTTTCTAAAAAGAGCATCACATCCAGAATTAGTATAACCAAACAATAGAAAAAGATCTACCACCTGTTTTTGTAACGATAGCTGTTATGACATCGCTATAGGTACATCCAATAGTATTCTTGCTTATGACATAAGGAATGAGTTCATATTATTCGTAACACCTGGATTAAACTTTATTTTAGTTTATTACTCCCAACAAGAACGGCTATGTTTATAATGATATGTATTATAAAAGTTTCAATTAAATACTGCGGGTATGAAGCATTTCTAGTTTTTGCCATGAATAGGTCGTAATTGAACAAAGCTATATACTGTAGCAGTGCAACATAAAAATGAAACTGCAAATTAGGTATTTATGTATACCCCCACAATAAGGAACATCGTACTTATCAAAAATGGACCTAGTTACTATTAAAATATAGTCTACTTCCATTATAAAATTACAGTCCATTACTCTGCTAGAATATTCTTTTACTTCTATAATGAAGTAACTAAAGGTGTAAGAAACTACTCGCAATAGTAAAAAATTTAGTGTGAAGAAAACAAGTTCCTATAAAGAGTTTGAAGTTTTAACTTCAACTGCAAGTAACTCATTTAACAAACTTTACTAAACACCGAAGTTTTAGCTGCCCAAATCCGTATTAATGAATTTTCAGATAATAGAAGAGTTACATTCTTTTTTTTTCTATTTTAATTATGCAAAACTATTTATTCTGCCTTAGAAATATGGGGTCTACAAATAAGAAAGAACATTAAATTGAGTATAATAATAATAATACATATCGATGAAGCTTTGTTAGCGATAGAAAAAAGTAAAGATATATTGTTATGATTAGTATGTGTATGTGATTTGTTTATATAATTAATATAGTATGATCTTGCTGTGTATGTGTGTATGCTGCTGTGTTGATATGCTGTGATTTAATTGTTGTCAATTATACCCTGGCTAACTCTAGACTCTTCCCAGTAGTGAGTTCTAATGAGGTTAAAACTTTGTAGAAACCCAAACAATACACCACACTAAACAAAAGATATTTAAAATTTAATTTATTTATTAATTTTTTTTGTCAACAATAAATTATAATCGTGAAATGTTCAGGCACAATTTCGGAATATTTGGAATTATCTTATTGTGANTTAATTTATTTATTAATTTTTTTTGTCAACAATAAATTATAATCGTGAAATGTTCAGACACAATTTCGGAATATTTGGAATTATCTTATTGTGATAGCAATTTTGTAACACCTTGGGAACTTTTCATAAAGTGGTATTCAAATTGACTCGTTATTGTGTACTGTTGGTTGCCTATACTTAAGGGCGATAAAACTGATCTTAAAATTTCTTTCCTAATGTGTTACTTTGCCTACTTTTATACTTAAATATCTATCAAAATTTTTAATATGGCCACTTTTAATTATTGTTAATATAGTGAAGTTAAAGTTATCTACTATTTATTGTGTATGAAGAATTTGTATTACTTTCAAACTTATTTTCAGGTAAAGCTACTTTAAATTTTATTATTATACCTATAGGTTTTTTATGACTTTTGAGAATGTATTTAACATTTTTTCAGTCATTTTTAA